TCTCTGTTATTATACACCTTCCAGGCCTCATTCAGCAGCGTCTCTACATTTTTGTTTGCTGGATGCTCAAGTTTTTGTAATTTCTTTCTGATATCTGGGCTGCATTGCCCCATCACTAGTCCTAATAGTTGTTGTTTTCCTTCTTTTGATGCTGGATCCAGGGGTGTGTATTGTCTCATGGCTGCTCTAAGTCTATCCACAAACTCTGAAGGGGTTTCGTCCTTGCCTTATATCATATAACATTGCCCAATTGATAGCCTTAGGTATCGCATTCCTCAGGCCTATCGCTATCAGCTTTCTATACTGCACTAGCCGCTCATATTGAACTGGGTTGTTTGGGTCCCATTCTGGATTACTATTGGGAAATATTATATCCAGCCTTTCTTGTAATAAAGCAGCATGTTCTCTTCCTGTTCTCAATACGAGTTCCTTTTCTGTATCCGTTAGTTCTGACAACATTACTTCTATATCCTCTCAATCAATATCTTGATTCTTTGCCAATAACTCGAACCTCCTAGTCACTCCCTCTGGATTCTTTCTAAAGTTCCTCGCTTCCTCTCTCCAGCTATTCAGATCACTTGTTGTAAATGGCACCTTTATTCGTCCCTGTTCCCCTGCAATGGGCATTATTCGTCGAAGAGGAGCTATTGTATAATTCTCTCCGTCCCTTTCTTTTACTTCTTTCCGTGCTACAGATCTGGTATAATGTGAATAACTGGTCCCTTCCCCGGGATCTTCTTCCTGGGCTTTGGTGTCTGTTTTATTCTTTTTCTTTTCTTTTCTCTTTCCTCCTTTCTGTTCCTCATTTTCGCTCTCTGTTCCTGCCGAATCATCTTCTGCCAACCCCCTGGCGTGGTTTACGCAGTCCAGCCGTCTCTCTTTCTGTATTTGGATGAGACACTGTCGGCGCTCATCCTGCCCCGAACTGCCGCCCTCCTTGTTTTCTTCTGTCCCTTTCGTATCTCTCTTATCTTCTATCTGAATTACTATGTTCAGCTTTTGTGAGTCGTTTTCCGTCTCTCTCTGGTTTATTACATGGTTATTTTCTTCACCGTACTTCAGTTTAGGGACAACACCCCCTCTTTCGGTGTTTCCTGGTCTCGGCGGGCTACTTCCATCTTCATAATTCCCAGTTCTGGGTGTGCTGCTTTCCATCTTGCAGGCACCTGATTTTCGTAAGCTGCTTTCATCTTTGTAGCCCCCTGACTCTTGTGGACTATTCAGTCCCTGTGAGCCACTTTCCCTTCCGTAGCTTCCTGATTTTGATGGGCTGCTCTCCTCCCAGCTATTTTCTAATCTCTGAGGGCTATAACCGGTCTTAGATTTTTCCCGTTCCAGTGATATATCCCCTAATAGACTAGTATCTTTTTCACCTTCTCCCAGTCTGGGAGGAGGTACTCCATATCTTGGGGCAAATGGTTGATATTCCCACAGGCTTACTTCGCTCTCTTTTCCACTGTCTCTTCTCGTTAATTTGAGGCACTGTTGTCCAATACTACAGGCATCACAGCAGCGTTCCTTAGGTTTTAAGTTTTTCTTATCCTTTTCTAAAGCTAATACTAGGGGATCCTGAGGTGCCACATTTACCCCACATTCTTTCTGCCACTCTGGTTTATTTCTTAGGGTAAAGAACATATCAGCATACATCACTTCGTCCCATTTCTCCAGGTGGCGGAGGAAGAGCATAAGTTGTAAAATTGTGTTATAATTAATTGTTCCTTCTGGTGGCCATTTTTCACCTTCGTCCAACTTATATAAAGGCCACCACTGTGTCTTTTTACTTATATTCCCCCCTGGAATACCTCCTAAATCCTTCCAATTTTTCAGAATACATCCTAAGGGGGTTTTCATATTTATATCTTTACTTGGTTGGCTTCCCATTACTATTCTCTGGATTTGTGCCTCTTTGTGTGAACTCCTACCCGTAAGTACTATATCTTGCTTTATTCCAACACTTCATACACACAATTTTCAATCGCTTCGTCTGTTTCTAGCCTGGCTTCTCGCGAAGAACAGGAAACGTAGAGCGGGACTCCCACTCACTTCGCAGCGATGCTGCGTCTCAATCACTCTCACTCATACTTGCACACTTATACATATAGACGGTCCTACCTTCTGGCTTAAATCTGAACAGACTGCGTTACCAAGTAAGGTTGCGAGATGTCGTTTGCAGACCGTGAAATACTGGTTTGCTGCCGGGATCTGTGTTATCACAAAGCCGCAGGACGCCACTGCAAGCTAGAAGATATTGTTTACAGATACTGCAACCAGGGCGACACAAATACTCGTCTGTGGGAGTTTTGACAGTAAAACCATGCCCACTTGGTCTCTGCTAAATCTTGGTTCGTTCTACACCATATACCGCAAAAGGTGAGTACTCGATTAATTGCCCAAAATATATCTCCCGCGGTTATTACGCCACACTCTTACGTAAAGAGAATAATTACAAAGATGACAGATTTTTATCCTAGGATTCAAGCGCGCGACTATCAACTTATTCACTTTTATAAGATTATCTGTATTATCAATTCCCATATAAAATTGTAAGACGTCTTATAGAGTGCACTTTTTCACAATACTTTAAACAAGCAACACAGAAAACAGACAAGCAACACAGAAAACGGACAAGACAAGCGGAACTTTTCTCTATACCCTTAAATTCCAAGCTACAAGTTAATAAGAAATTCTCCGCATTCAAAAACCTTTTTTTCTTAGAAACACTTCCGGACCTAGCTTGGAAACACTCCCAGACTTGGAAAGCAATCCTGGATTTTTAAAGACCGTTCTTAGTTATAAACTGTCCGTACCTTTAACCCTTAAATCACAACCTTACAATTTTAGACACATTATCGAACAGTATTTCACACAATAAAAAAATAGACCAAGAACATCAAGGTAAAAGGAAAATACACAATACTTCGTTCCGGCAGGACTCTAACCTGCTTCACCTGCTTCTCTTTATGCTTGGGCCTCTAACCCAGCAAGACTTTATTCCGGCAGGACTCTACCCTGCTCCTCTTTATGTCTGGGCCTCTAACCCAGCAAGACTTTATTCCGGCAGGACTCTAACCTGCTCCTCTTTATGTCTGGGCCTCTAACCCAGCAAGACTTTATTCCGGCAGGACTCTAACCTGCTCCTCTTTATGTCTGGGCCTCTAACCCAGCAAGACTTTATTCCGGCAGGACTCTAACCTGCTCCTCTTTATGTCTGGGCCTCTAACCCAGCAAGACTTTATTCCGGCAGGACTCTAACCTGCTCCTCTTTACGGCAGGACTCTAACCTGCTTCTCTTTATGTCTGGGCCTCTAACCCAGCAAGACTTTATTCCGGCAGGACTCTAACCTGCTTCTCTTTATGTTTGGGCCTCTAACCCAGTTGGGATTAATGCCAGGGCGTCCCCTCGGCTTCCCTTCGGGCGGTAACGTCTTACCCCCGCTTCTTAACAAAGCGCTTTATCCTAAAAACAATATAAAAGGATAAATACCTCTTAATTTGGAGCAGGAGGTCCTTGTCCACCGATGCACGTTGGCCCGAGGGGAACGGGAGACTCTTTCGACGAAAATTCAGTCGGGGGGCCCAGAGAGGGTCCCGGCCCCCCTGGGCCTAGGCTCGGAAGGACTCTGGGCCTCCTGCCTGGCTCGCCAAATCTGATGCCGAATTTGCCCCAAAAGGCGAAATAGAAACTGCAGTCTCAGAAAATAGAAACTGCCCAGAAAATAGAAACTGCTCAGAGACTAAGTTTTCAAGTCCATAAGCAGGAGGTATTTATTAACAACGCGTTGGGGAACTCTCCAGGCCGCCCTGGACAAAGAGTTCCGTCGGTTAGCAATCAGTGCAGCTTTTTTATACAAGTTTGAGTGTAGGTTACATAATCTTTACATGCATATTCATATTTTACATGCATATTCATATATAGGCGGAGTCTTCCATCTTGGGTAGTCATCTGGTGGGAGTTCCGGTGCCTTCATCAGGGTGGGGGATTGTCTTGTGAGTCTTCCTCAGGTTAAACTTCTGAACTCTTCCTAATTTGGGTAGCTTCTTCGTGTACTTGGCAAGGTCGGAGTGACCTTGGTTCATCCTAAAATTGCTGAAGCCACTACTTCATGTTCTGGTGTTCCTTCCTATCAACTCGTTCTGTTCTCTCAGACAATTTATTACCTTCGTGATTTGGTAAGATCCAGTAAATATAGCCTGACTGACCACAAACGGGGCCTGCAACTACTCAGAGCTATGACAAGAGAGGATGCAGGAATGTAGGGAGTAGTCCTGAGACCAGCACAATGATGTCTTGAAGCAGCAAAACAGTATTGTCGACCTTGTTAGGAGATAGGGGATTTAAAGAAGGAACCTAGCTTACATTTTAACTCCTTATTTCTCGAAGACTGCTTCCTTTGAGCGGTTTCATTGTGCCATGGACAAAATGACCATCAGATCATGGTGTCTATCAGTTGCACACCAGGAGCTCATCATCTCCTAGATAAATCTCATCCAAAAAGAATCCAGTTCACACACTCCAAGATTGTCCTGGGGGTTGAAGGATGCTAAACAGAGACAACTGGGAGAGTGTCTTCAGAAGCACACTCCTAATGAAACACAAATGGGCATGTAGACGCATTAAGTATAGGTCTTCTAAGAAAAAAAAAAAGTTTAAATGACAAGGCATTCATTTATTACGATCAAAATTTAAGGCTTCTTTAGTTCTTTCCTCCCTTCAGCTCTGAAGCCATTCTCAACTTTATGTTGCAAAGCACTGTTCTAAATTATTGTCTTCTTCACATAGAAGTGGAGAGAGACAGATTGAATGGTTTACCCAAGGTCACAGTAAAAATCTATTGTGGTTTAGCCCCAGCCAGCAACTAAACACCACACAGCCACTCGCTCACTGTCCCCCCAGCAGGACCTGGGGCAAGAGAACTGGAAGGGTAAAAGTGAGAAAACTCATGGGTTGAGATAATAACACTTTAATAATTGAAATAAAATAAAATAATAATAATAATAATAATAATAATAATAATAATAATAATAAATTGTAATGAAAAGGGAACTAACAAAAAAGAGAAAGAAAGAAAGAAAGAAAACCCAAGAAAGACAAACGATGCAAATGAAAAACAATTGCTCATCACCAACCAACTGAAGCCCAGCTCATCCCCAGGCAGTGCCCCCCGGCCAACTTTCCGCCTAGTTTATATGCAGAGCATGACGTCATATGGTATGGAATATCCCTGTGGTCAGTTGGGGTCAGCTGTCCCAGCTGTGTCCCCTCCCAGCTTCTCCTGCACCCCCAGCCTGCTCGTTGGTAGGATGGGGTGAGGAGCAGAAAGGGCCTTGACTCTGTGTAAGCACTGCTCAGCAGTAACTAAAATATCCCCATATTATCAATACTGCTTCCAGCACAAATCTGAAATATAGCCTCATACATGCTACTATGAAGAAAAATTACTCTAGCACATTCAAAACCAGCACAAAATCATAAGCTAAACAGAATATAAAACTTTATCAGCTTCCTCATGGTTTTGGTTTGGTTTGGTTTTTTTTTCTGCCACAAATTTGTACCACACCTTTCATTCTGATATTCAGAAAAAACTAAGGATTTAGGACTGTATCTATATGTTACATTGTTATTAGCAATGCATCCCTACTAACAAGTCATCCAGAAGGAAATTAATTTGGATATAATACAAAAAATATATCTCTCCTTTCTTTTGTTGAATCTTTCTTTTCTTTGTGAATTATTTTAGCCTGACTTTCTAGTTGGGAGGACCACAGGACTCATGTGCTTTATTTTTAATTACATCCTAAAAAGAATTCCAAAATGTTAGTGAATCACACTCTAAAATATACTGGAAATTGTTTTCCAAGTCAATCATCTACATTCTTCTGTAACCAGTTGGCAACTTTGATTAGTAGTTTTCTCCTTTCCATATTTTCAACTTTTGTAAACTCCAGTAGTAGAGTAGCAGCTGCTCTCTCATCCTCTTCCAGTGTAGTGTTATAAAAAACCTGTAACTGAAGCAATAAACACATGAGCTTAGTTCACAAAAGTTCACTTGCAGAAAGGAACTGTGTACCTGACAGATGCTTTAGACAGAACTGCACAGAAAAGGGTGAGATGGCAGGGGGGATGAAGAGGGGATGGGGCAAGCTTACTGATTTACACTAAGGTGGGAAAGCTCCTTGCACATCAGAAATGTGCCCTTTTGCCGTCCCTTTAATAATCCTTTCAAATGCAGCCAACTTCACTAGCACTGGTGGTTCCACACAGTGGCTAGGACTAGTTGGGTAGGAGAATCCTCTTGTGCTGCCTGCTGTACTATCACAGAACAAGAAATCTTTCCTATCGGGCTAATGAGCAGAAGACAAGAGGGGACTAGAGAATAGCAAAGAAATGTATGGGGGGGGCAGGAAATGAACAATAAGAGAAATGAGATAAATGTCAACATGATAACCAGCAACCTAACGTGCCAGCAGCCCAACTTTTGCTCTGTTTCTTGTAGACATCATAGCAAAGGTGATCTCTACAGATTTCAAAGAGGAAAATGAGACAGCTTTGATAATATTTTATGGGACTCAGTTCCAAACCTGAAGATTCATTTAGGCACTGGGCTATTGCTTTTGCCATCCCAGGGAGTTAACTTGTTCCTAAAGAACAAAAGGTGTAAAACTTATAGTTCATGAATGTTGAAGAGAGATTTCTCTGATTTTAGGAGCTAACACTCTGAATTGTTCTCCTCACTCAGTATCCCTTCTCAGTTACTTGCTGTACACATGCATATATCAACAGCAAAAAAGGGAAGCAACATTTTTCTTGTAATGACAGATTCTAGCAGTTCAGGGCTGGCGCAGTGACGTGGATCACATGCACACAGCCTAAAAGCTGAGCTGTTGAGAAAAAAAAAAATCATATTTTGGGAAAGAATCTGGGGAGACTTAGACTGGAGGTGAAAGAACAAGAAAAGAGTATGAAACGAGCAGTGTGATAGTTACTAATTTGTCACAGGCACTAATGTGGATTACAGTGGGGAGTAAACTAAGACAGCCTAAAGCCACCTACCACAGATTTCCACCCTTCAGCAGGTTTCTCCCAACCCATCCCCTTTTTCTGGAGGTACAGCAGCCCAATTAGAAAGTACTGTCCATGGGCTCATCTGGGCTGCCAGGCAGTCAAAAGGAAAGAACTGTGCCACGCACGTAGACCATCTCTTCAGCACACGGGCAGGCACCCTCTTAACACTGCAGCCACACAGAGCAGGACAACGTCCGTCCCTGCACAGAATCTCCCTTTCATGCCATGCTTAACGACCAGCTGTACACACAGACTGCAGAGCTGCAGGTGCATGTTCATATGTTTATTTCTCAGATGAGGAAGTATCATTTTTCTCAGTGTCTCAGCATAGCAATGATACAGAGTACATTCTATGATTTCTTTAAAAAACAAGAGATTTAAAAGCCTGTATTTACAAACTGGCAATGAAATTAAGACTGCTTCTCTGATTTACCTCTTGGATCTGTACATCTGTATTGACAAATCTTCCCATGACTCTTAATACATCATGTAACAACTCCTTCCCATACCTGTAAAATTGAGATAAAAGTCCTTCAAATAGCATGTTAGCAAACACACTAAATTTCACCTCATTTGAAAATACTCCCACTATTAAGTTATTCATTACCATTTGGAAATACCAACTAAGCTGAAGTTTGCAATTGTGTACTCTTTTTCCCCTTTTAAAGAAATACCATTAACATTCAATTTAGGCATTTGAGCAGGATGAAGCACACTAATTACCTTTCATTTTAATTTCCTAGTAAGATATAGTATTTCTACTTTGGTAGCATGAATTCTTTGCTTAAAACGCATGATCTATGTGAACCCATACAGCTAAACTGAGCTAGAAAGGCTAACTAATAGCGATTCTAACAACTTGGTGTCGTGAGAATGGCATATAAATTAATGCCCACACTATTCTTTTAGTCTGAAAATAACGTGTCAGTTTCCCAGCAAACTTCTCATCAATATGGAACACAGAAAAGCTTTGTAAGGCAACAAGTTGGTGTGACACAAATGTGCTACAACTTGCCTTTCCTAGTGTTAGCAATAAAGATACACACTTGGATGCTCCTGGAGGGCTGGTTGTGGTTATGCTGCCTCTAACGGCTCCAGATGGACTCCTCTGCCACCAAATGCAGCAGGAACAGACAGCCTCACTGCTTTTCACCATTGCCAGGAGAGAAGGAGTCTTCGAACAGACTTCAAAATACTTGCTTTGCTCGAGACAGGTAGCCCAAGCTCTCCTGCAGTTTACCTGCATTGGTACAGGCAGGCTAGAGATGGGTTAGGGCTTAAGTCAGGGAATAACACTGTAGTTGGTCCTTGCAGTGCTTGTAAACCTGTATGCTCCAACCCCACATATCTTCATAATCTCTTTGGAAAAAAGGTTACAAACTACCTCCAGCATTTTACACCCCTGCTAGTAGATCAACCCATTTCTAGAGTCAGATTTTCCAGGAAACTTAACACTTAAAAGCACCAAAACAGTCAGGAACAGACTAATCTTGAAAGCATTCTGCATCTGACATGTAGTCTTCTTTGACATTAAGTTCTGATCAGAATTGAATCCTCTGAAAATTCTGCAGGGCATACTTAATGAAGTGCATCAATCATTGCAACAAAGCCATCTCTGTGAGGAAAATCTGTACCTGGATTTCACAGCTCACATAAAGATGGAGGAAGAAGCCAAACAGACACAGAAATAAAGGGAAGCCAAAGCTGGTAGCTTACCATACCTTACACTTAAACGTGGCCAGTTTTCCATAACAAATTCCCAGGCTATACGGTGCCCAATATCCTTAGTCACAACATATAGGATGATGACTGAAGTACAATTGGAAGAAAATAATGTATCGCTGAGTCCATATTGCAAGTATCTGTTAGAAAAGAAGGCAATAATTGTACCTATCACTTGCTGTTTTAACAGTGATGATGATCTGGAAATACCATCCAATTTGGGAAAATTCCTGTCTCAACAAATATCAGAATGTGAAAGTTATAGCAGTTGGTGTCACTCTGAGCTGTGCATTCAGCTGCCACCACAAGAGCAGGTGGCTGGCAGGAGAAGCATCTCAGCTACTTTCAGAGCTTTAGACCCACTGAGTTTATGCCAATTCTTGGATGATCATTCCTTAGTCTATCACTGGCAAATTTCTGTCCTTTGGCAAATCCATTACGTAATGTGGACATGATAAATTAGAGAATTCAACTTCAGCATCTTTTTACTGATAAAGTGAAAAGATTTTATATCAATGCCAGTGAAAGATAATAAAAATACAGTACTCCAAACCGTGTTCAGGAAGCATTTGGACAACACTCTTAGATATATGGCTTAACTTTTAGGTTCCCCTACATGGAGTCAGGAGTCAGACTAAATGAACTTTGTGGATCCCTTCAGGGTATTCTACGATTTTATGAAGCTGGAAATTTAAAAAAAAAAATTAATTTTCAGTGTAAGTCTCCTCTTCAAATGGTAAACAGCTTGCTGCTAAGTAATTTTAACTTTTGCCCCTAATCTGGGTGATTTGGCTTCCAGACAGAGGCTAAATAGACCATGGCACTTTAGTTTGGAAACAAAATAAGATGGGGAGAAGGAGTATGGGAAAATTATATAAAATCATAAATGATAGGGGGAAATGTCAAAACGAATTATGACAATTACTGTTTCTTACTGTACAACGAGTAAGGGCAGCCAATGGGTTCCAAGTTAAAAAAAAACACCACAAAATAGGTTTAAAACAAACCAAAAGGAACTATGTTTTCATACAATATGCAATTGTATTATGGGATGTGTTGCCATAGTCTGCTGACCATAAAGCCTGAAAGTATAATTTTAATTAGAAAAGGTCATTAGATATACTAGAAGACAGGCCCCGTGTTAGACATTGCATTCTAGTTACCAGCTCAGGAAATTCCTTTCTCAGTGATTACCATCTGGGATGTTATACCAGCAGAAGGATAATTTATGATTGCCCTTTTATCATACTTTCTCTGTAAGAAAACTCTGAAGATTCATCCAGCGGTCTGTAAGACACATGCTTCTGGGACAGTCTAACCTCTATCAGGTTGGCACAGTGCAGAATTTGTGTTCTTACGATTTACTTCTACATACAGAAAGATATGCTTTGATTAAGGTCACCTGTAAAGTAACCATGACTCTTTGGCACAGCTCATGGCAGAGAGCAGGATGTCTTTATCTTCCTTTGTGGAGTCAGTATGGTTATACATTTCCCATGCAAAATTCCATTCTTTATCACTTCCCGTTGCAACACCATAGCAGCAGACAGTTCTTCTAATTAAAAAGGGAATACTGGAAAGCAAAATATGATTAAAATTATTGTATTGTTGTAAAGTCAAAACCAGCAGTTAACACATAATGGAAAACAAATATTTATTTACAGTTAAAAGATGCACAAGAAAGGAAATATAAAATAGCAACCGAAATAATGCTAGGAAATGTGATTGGTTTATTCATGATTTAAATATTTTAAAAGCATGCAGTTTAAAGGCAAACCAAAAACATTTTTTAAAATCATTGGGTGAAGCTATTTTTTGTGTACATACAGTGTCAATGCCACTTTTTCACCTCACAGCCTAGGACATGGATCAGACCATTCAAGAGGGTACAGTTGCATATAAGCGTCATCCCAGACAAGCCTTTTCAAAGTTTCTTGAGTGAGGGCATCCAGTAGGAAGAGCCATGTGCAGCACAAATGGAAAGAGAGGGGACATCTCTCCATGCAACACACAGCCTCCTATTAGTCCCACCCCAGGGGACAATCCTCAACACAGCAATGAATTTCATAACCAACATTATCAGTGTAATACTCTTACTTCACGTGCAAAGGCTGAACAGAAAATTTCTCTTGTGGCAATGATGTGTCCCTGACACTAAGACATTCTCAACCCTTTCCAGTGATAGCAATATATTCTTCTATGCAGGCTACCTGAAAACAGTTTAAATTAATGGTATTTTTGACTAATTCTCTGTAGAACAATGGGTGCCATTGCTACAAATGAACCATTGAACTTCCCAAGGGCACACTATTAACCTGCCTAGATTACATTACGCAAGACCAAGATTGTAAGTAGAAGTGTAAACACTATCTTCCATTAGATCATGATATAAACTAGAAAAACCAGACAAGTTTCTAGTCACAAAAATTGTTCTTCAGGCCCAAAACCAGAAGCAAAATATTAAAATGTAAATCTAAATTGATAAAAATTCCTCAGAGTTTCACTAGACCATTCTAGAGAAAATGGGGATGATACCAGCAGATATATATGACTATATGACATCAATCTTAAAAACAAAAGGTAGAGACAGGTAATTTATAAACTCTGGAAACTAATGTAAACTTTGAGCTAGTGAGAGTGATGGAGAGAGCTGGGTATTCTGGATGGCAAACACTGCTTGTTAAGAAGAAAGTTTCAGGGTTTTGATACTCCCGTTTTGGGTGGGAAATTTCACTGGGCATAATAACAGAAAGTGTGGGCATGTTTTATGTTTACTGCAAAAAAATAAATTGGTTTCATTTATCTGCATGTGTGTTGGAATGTAGGGGATTTGCCACTGAGAATAATGCTTACTGAGACTGAGTGGTTATGTCAAGGTAAAGAACAGTCCTGCAAGGAACCCTGTGATGACAGGTCTTACAGGGTACGGTAATTTGTTTAATAATCATTTCATCACATTGCAGAACAAGGGCATGGTAGAGTGATAACAGGGTAAAGCTGCTTTGGCTAAAATATAGCTATTTATTTTGCTACTGCAGCTCTTCCAATAGTTTCAAGAAAAATGTTGGTTACTACGTGTAAAGTTGTGGGCGAAGAGCAAATAGACAAGCTCTGTGTATCATCTGGCTGCAGATCTGATGTTCAGGGTGGCCATATGGGCAGCCTACTATGGGACGATGGTCTACTGACTGGTGACATCTGTGCTGGCCCTGAAGTGGTTTACGTTCCGTAGTTCACAGAGGAAGTCCACTGTGGTCCGGAGGGACTTTGGAGCTTGAGGTTCTGTTAGAAGAAGGGCGGGGTTTACTAATCTTGACATTTTTTCTGGGAGTGGTTAGTGTGGTTTGATATTACTGGTCCTGCCAGGATTCTCTCATTTCTGGATCTTGGGGAAGACGCAAAAAGCTGCTGGGAAGGAGGGTGTATTATTTTACGTTGCTTTCCTGGAACCAATGCCAAAGTGACATAGTGATTTCTTAACTTTTGAGGGCAACAGCAGTATATGGTTACTCTCAGTAAATAATTAAAATGTACAGCAACATTGTCCCTCCCTCTAGACTCATTATCTTCTTTCAAAAGGAGGCAAGCCAGTAACAGCACCACAGAGAATACATTTATTTACCTAGCTCCACTTCACTCCTAGAAGTTAAAAATGAGTAAAACTGAAACTGGCTGAGAATCAAGGCTCCTGGCTTGTTATCTCCATAAAACAGACAAAAATGCACCATATCAAGTCCGGTTAAGTTCTGCCAGGAACTGTGTGGAAATGTTCAGCTGAAAGTTGATCATGTTATTTGAAAGGGAAAAGCATTACTCCCTTTCACAGGCGTAAGAATCCTACTGGGTTCCACCTGTGGCAGAACATCTATAGTGTGCCATTATATATTTTGCTCTCAGAATAGAGAACATCAAGGGATCTGTCTGTGAAATATGAGTCAAAATTTTATTGTGCCCTTTTACTTTTCTATCCATCATATGAAAAGCCTCCTCTTTAACTGAACAGGAACTGTGATCTGTCATTTGAAACCTGAAAAAGTGTCCTATCGCTCATGTTTTTTTTTTTTCCTTAAAACATGATCATTTTTTTAATTCAATAAAATTTATAGTTGCATTTTTTCCACACTTTTAGCTATGTGAAGTGTGAGGCTGTAGAGTCCCTTTGAACTCATCTCAGTGCCAGGAAGGACAGTGAAATTAATCTTCTCCGTCTAATTTAAAGCCAGGTCAGGTAACATATTACACAGACTTTTCAGCTCTTCAATGTATATAAGGTATGTAGTATTCCACCAGGGAAAAAAATATTTCAAAGATTATTAAAGGGGCAAGACAGGTGACTGATTTGAAAACAGCCTGAGAATTCAGCATAGCATTGTTGCTTTAAGTGTGGGACAGTAAAAATCTCTGGAACATAACAGAATGTCTTTAGGCTATTTAAACTTTTCAATTTAAATGCAAAGCACAGTTTGGTTTTTATGAGGATGATCACTATGAAGCTATATAAAAAACCACAAACATAAAAGTTCAGTTTACTTAGCCAACTACATATATCAATAAATATACAAGTAACAACAAAATACTTATTACAGCCATGACAAATAAAAAAAATAATAAAGTTTAAATATTCACTCACCAGTGCCAATACTATTTGATTATTGCATGGAAAAACATCAAAAGAAAGAGGGAGGAAAAAATAATAAGAATTTAAATATATCGTAAATTTTCTTTAACAATGCAATACTCGAATGCAAAAAGTCTGATCCTGGCAGAGCCCAGACTCCACCCTCACAGACCAGAAACCTGACCACTATGTTCCAGTATCAGCATAAGAACTGGAAGCTGTCCCCTGCACCTCGTTATGGGAATACAGAACATGCAAGGCAATTTGACAGGCTCACCGCCAGCAGGTGCCTGTATCTCACAAACATCATTTCACTCAGTGCTGCTACGAGAAGCTTAGAAACTGAGTTGATATACATGATAACCCTAAGCCTGTACTGCAGCAAAGCGACTGGACAATATGGGATAGTAGCCCTAACCTAAGGTTCACCTGTTAAGTGGCAAAATAGATTTTGGTCCTCTTGGCAAAAATCTGCATCTGCCAGTCTGCAAAGTCTATGTAAAAAGCAATATTTATGAAAGCATTATAAAGTTGGCGTTTGAGGAAGCGGAGGAGGTTTAGGGGGACAGAGTTAGGCTTCTGTCCTTCTGTCCTTCTCTCCTTCTGTCAAGAAAGAAAAGCAGTACATTTCTCATTCTGCCTTCCCCATATAAAAGTCCTTTAACTTTCCACCTCCCTTACACATGCATGCCTCTAAGAGCCCATTATCATTCTTACTTGTACTCAGGATTGTCCATCCACTTAGCATACAGTTCCGATGACAGGTCCAAACAGTCCTGGAGGCCCAGCCAGCACGCTGTTGTAAAAAGTTTTTCCAAATATACTCTTGAAGGGAAGTAAAAATAGCAAGAATAAAAGATATGCATTCCACACTTGAAGTGCTTGACCAGCCCAATTAGAGCATATGATACTGTTTACCCAGTTGAAGTTTAATTTAAAATAGACCCCCAAACCTACCAATAATGGGTTCCTGACATTGATATTCATGGGCATTAGTGAAGCTACCAATGTATTATAATTTTTCTTAGGTTTTTCTGTGGTTTATATCCCTCTTGGTAGTCTTAATAGACTATTTGCATCTACTCCAGATCACTCTGACATTCAAGACTGTGGCTGCAGTGGCATTTATTTTAAAGTTCTAGTGATTGATCCATAAATCACATCTGAAGTTCACTGCTGTCAGTTTTTTCCCAACTGGCAGCAGCCTGTTGAGCCTGTTCCCCAATAAACAAAAGCTACTACTCAGATCATTACACTACCATCTTTTATGCTCCATAAATAGACTGAAAATATCCCAAACTATCCTGATACTTCAGTTTCATTGGAGGTGTCATCATGAGTAACATACACTTATAAATAGTAAAAATAACAATTCAGTTTCATTCAAATTAATTAGAGCACTGTTCCTGTATCTTGTATCTAAATTCACAGAGGTAAACTGCAGTGTGTTAGATCCAATCAAATCAGAACAAACTTTTGAGAAAAGCAGACTACTTACTGAGCAAAATAGTCATCTTCCAAAGCATCAACATTTCGACGAATAAAACCTGCATAATAATGGTATATTGGCAACATTCTCTTTAAAAGGTATTTCTTTTAAAAGAAGGGAAAGAAAAATTACTTTCATTTAGATGCAAGTTTTTATTTTACTGTATTTTTCTTTACTTACTCAGACTTTTCATAAATATTTACCACTATTTGTTTCTTGACAATGCAGCACATTAAAATAAAGTATATAAATTGTGTTTAAATTTCAATACACCTGTTAATCCATTCAAACTGGCAAGTTACCATTTCACATTACAAGGACCTTTGAACTCATTATGAAAGAAAACAAATGCTCATTCTCCGAGAAAAAGACAGAAAAATAACTTCTTAATAGAAAATACTTTGTTTTTCTCCCATATTTTAAATATGCCTTTACTTTTAGAACTTAAGAAAAGTACTATCATGGGACTGAACTTTAAACAAAAGTGAAATCTTCTTTAAATAGAAGTCAAGGACATAATACTGCATCATCTCAGGTAGCTCAAATATGGGAGAGAATCATCTCATTTGGTATCCAAACCCAGTACCTTCTTTCTCTCCATGAAGATGAACCAGAAGACAGTAGAAACCACAGAGCACATACATACTATATACCCTTTATACCTAGCAGCGTTACTCCCGTTACTTACTACTAACAATTTACTACTGGCTGACAGCTGTATTTTTCAGTGTCCTGGGTTGAGCAACACAGGACCAACTTTTCTTCTAATGCTGGGGAAAACTGCACTTTTTGAAGACTCTAGTGACTGAGTTAATGAAAATATTTACTTTATAGCCAGCCAGGCTCTGTGGGATTCAAGGTCTTTGTGGTTTTGGGCCTTGCCAGGTGCAGGGACAGAAGGAGCAAGGCCTGGGCATTTGACACAGGCTGGCCAACAGGATTATTTCATGCCATGAACGTCATATTCAATATAAATTAGAAAGTTTGCTAGGAGCTCTCTCTCTCTCGTGATCCTGAGAACTTCTTGCCTCAGTGCTGGATCCCTGAGGCCTTCCCTTCCTCCTGAAGCCATTGCGCTCGCAGCGTCCGCCATTTGCTGTCCTCTGTTGGGAGTGCACAACTTCTACTGATAGAACGGGCTGAGTACAATTCTGGTATATCTTATATCAGTATCAGGATTAATGCTGGTTCTTTAGTATTATTGTTAATTATGTAGCCTTACTCTATTTAATCTATGTATATTTCAGCCCTCGTATTTCTTTGTGTTCCTTGATTCCCCTTTCCGGGTGGGAGGGGTCATCAGGTGATAGAATAATTGTCTAAACAACAATAAATTGTTATGGGTTTTCTCAAACCATAACACCTGGGATCAAGTTTAATGTAAAGAATGTGACTATATTTCTGCTTTACAATAAAAATTGCTCTAAATCAATTATTTTTATCATTGACTAGTTTGTACAAATAAGTACCTCCTCCTATTTAAAAAAAAAAGTTGACAAAATCAAGCAAAGGGAATAACAGGCAAAAGGAATCATGACCCATCATAGTCGCTATTACATTTTTGAGAAATTAAAAAGTATTCACTGTAGTCTGATTTATTTGAATGGTCTAGTATCTTTGCTAACTAACAATAAAGGTGATACCTTTAGAAGTGGATATACTTCATAGTTCTTCAGAGTACCTTCCAAGTTCTCCGGTACTAGGTTTAACAATACCATATTCCATATAAAGAGTTCATCCTCTCTGTCAAGGTACTTTGTTAGTTCAAGTGCTGTTTCAATCTGAATGTATCCAAACCTATTTGAAAATAAAAAACTTCATGCTCAAGCGTACCTATTCACATTAATTACCTACCATGAATATCTTTTTTATTTATGACCCTGACAATAAAACATCATGATATTGCATGGAGAGTGACCTAGAAAAGCCATTGGAAAAATAAAATAAATATAAAACAACGGTGCTTTTAAGAGCTGAACTCTCAAAACACTTATTAGAGAGGACAGTGCCACTATCAAAGCAATAAGACAATCAGGGCAGTAGGCAGACTGTATGCTGCTTGTGTCTGCAGGATACAGCACATTTACAGCATCAGTCAGTCCCACTAGAACAAATGAAGGAAAAGAGCACTGGTTTGAGTTATAATACATTTTTATTTTTTATTGCTAAACAGCATGTTTTCATTACAGGTTCTTTTGTGGAATATACATTTTTGCAAAAATCAAACAATTTAATTCACATGCACACTATTTGTGGAATTAACAACTTCAGCATGGCATTTCTCTGCCTTAGTGCGGAATTAACACAGAATTAATTTTTTCCCAGTAAAATTCCAATTCAAGCCCTTCTCCTCTGGAACAAAAACTTTTCTAGTGTATTTACATAGGACCACAGTGCTATACTTCAAAATTATATTTCTTATTAAATATTAGTTTTGAGCTCTCTTATGAGAAAGGGCATTTGCATGAGAAGAGGAATGGGAATTCATACTTCCTCCTCTTGGAGCTACCTCCAGAGGTGCTGAGGGAAAGGCACTATCCTTTGGCCACCTCCTCCCTGAGCTCCCACATCATAGGTATCTGATGCTTTTGGGATCTCTGGTACAGACATACTTACTGCATTTTCAGCTCCAACAGTACTGCTCAGCTTTCCAGCACCACAGACATGAACAACTGAGTCATCCATCAGCAAGGGAAGTGAAAGAGGTATTAAGAGTGATGCAGCTGAGATGCATAGCTTAGACAGCCCAGAATAAATTAAGGAAAACTCAGAATGTTCATTCAGAATCTTTCTTCTGTTACAACAAGTATAGGTTAGTCACTAAAAAACCCATGACAGTGCCACTATTTAAAATATTTCCTGAGAGTTGGAACAAAAGTTAAAAGAAATTTTGAAAGAAATCACCCAGCACTGACAGAAGAATGGATTAAACACCGAACTCCTGCACCATTTTGTCAAAAAAGCTGTTGTCCTTATGAGGCATGTATGGGTAGGAATGAATGAAGCAAGAATTAGCGATGTTGAATGCAGTCCTGCAGTTCAATCATTTTCTTTGACATATTCAAAACATACTTACTGTGTTAATGCAAAAACATCATCTATCAGCTGGAACCTGTTGACAGCGGGAATAGCCTGCGGAAAGCATTCATGTGGCATTAATAGATCTAAGTATGTTGTTAAGAGTTTTAAAAAGCTTTACTATGTTTCAGAAGGATAAGACTCATCACTAACACTTTTTCTGAGACAGAACATCATAAAATGGATCCTGCCTTTTAAGTTGTAATTATGTAGGTGCTTTTAGGAATGTTTATATAAATAAATATATAAATACACAGCTACATAATATATTTAGATGTATAACTACACTACATTAGCACAGAATTTCAAGACCCTTCTTATTTACATGCCATAATGAAAATTAAAGTATGGAAATGTTACATTTCCTAAAAATACCCTAGTTGTATCATTTTGGTACATTTTTTCCTTTTGAGGCTTCATTTCAGAATATGTACTCAGGTTAGTCCAGAGCAGAGTGTCTGGTGCTACCATGAATGAAATGACCAAGGCGGAGCCGTGGGTGAACCCCTGCCTACAGCTCATGCTCTCCTGAGGTCTGCTGGTCCCTCCTTGTCTCCTCCCTCTTTACGTGCCCCTTTGGCTCGGCGAACCTTCCCACTGACCAGTGCCAAAATATGGCCCTGAGTCACCACACGCCTCCTTTCCTGCTGACTTAGATTTGTTGTGCAAGAAAAAAGCCTAGAAGAAAGAAGGCAAGCTCTCTTAGGTGAATAGTCTAGACCCAGCACTGCTTTACTCTGAACAGAAGACTGAGACTTCAATGTATTTTGACAGAGCAAGTACTAGAAGAAAGGAAGCCAGTGTGCTGTAGAAAGGTTCAACCATACCATGTGCACTGATCAGCCGACCACCCATCTCGACCTTTGGGAGAAGTCATCTGACTGCACTGATTACAACTATGCTAAAAGCTTAAACTTTCTCACTGTTGTTACCAAAAACACAAGCTGACATTACTACGGGAGCCTCTGGCCCACTCTAGGGTAAGGCAACATGAAGTACTATGCAACCCCACATACAGCCACACATACAGGCTGTTCTGTACCACCTTCAGCCCAAGCTGTGGCAAGTCAGAGATGGGATAAAGTTATTCTGAGTTACAGTGCTTATAGAGGACAGAAAGAGCCCAGCTAGAACTGACTGGAACTCCACCAAATAAAAATCAACCAAAAACCCAAGTCAGATGACTTTTTTTTTTTTTTAATTTCACTGGCAGAAATTTGAGCTTTGAGGAAATGTGGAAATAAGAAGCTTTCTCCCAGCTTTCCTTCACCATGGTTACCTAACAGCAGATAAAGCTCAGTCACACATCCATACCAGTAACTCTTTGAGCCACATTAAAAAGTCTGGAAGAACCACAAGCAGTTAAGGAAACTTTGAAGACAGAATGCCACCTCATGTAAAGTCATTTTTCATGCTTATGTGAAACTATTTGGGCCTGTTCCTCTTCCACTATGGAAAGCTGCCAGTGACTTTAGTGGTGCAACAGTGGATCATTTCTTCTTATGTGATACTTGAATTTCCCATTATACCAGGGTTTCATCAGTGTGATTACTGATAAGAGCTGCAAAAAGGCATACATTGGAAAAGTCAATTTATAAGCTTGAGAAAACAAATACGATCTTACCTTTGGATCATTTTCAAGCAAGCGTGCCAATCTTTTTAAGTTTACTTGATCATAGTTCACCCTGTAGTATCCACTTAAATTTACGTTTAGCAGGATCCAGTCATATTCTGACTCTGATACTTGCATTTCAGGAAACACTTCTGTAAAGTGACATTAAAACGTATCATTTTGTTTTCTATGCACTGCTAAATTCCCTTGCATTTATAAACACTGGAGTTGGTACTTCTTTGAGATCTGACACACGAGTTCGAGGTTGGACTCAAAGAGAATCCCCCAAAAGCTTGGTCAATTTGTGATCTCTGCTCTGGACAGCAGAAGAATGTCAGCAGGCCAATGACCCCTCAGGTACCGGGCGCCTTGAGATGGCAAAGGGGAGAGTTCAGAAAGGCTGCCCAAGAATAAACAGTCTGGATGAAGAGCGATACCCTCCCATGGCTGCTGCAGAGCGTGCACCCCCAGCACGACTGCTGCTCCCGCTGCTGCTCCAAAACACAGCGCTCTGTACTTTGCAGAAAAACCAACTACCTACCAGTGTTCACATCAACGGGGATCAAGGAAAGCAAAACAGGAAAGTTTATGCAAGAGACAAGCATTTATTTTAAATAAAACAGTCCTGTAGTCTTTTTGAGTTACACCACTCACTAAAGGCCTCCTTCTGCAGTCCCATTTCATCTTACTCCTACACACTTTATGTCTGCTTGCCTGATTGCCTGCTTCTGATTGCCTACAGCAGATCTGAAGGAACCTCTGCAGCCTTGGAGGCTCTAGCTGCCTCACAGAAGAAGATTCAAATGCTTCTTTAACTGGCTATGATCATCTTGATTTAAGAAGACAAACTCTCTTAGGTAATATACCACTATTGGTGAGTAGTTTAGACCCAGCACTGCTTTACTCTGAACAGAAGACTGAGACTTCAATGTATTTTGACAGAGGAAGTACTACAGGATTCATCCCCAGTCATCTTCTTAAGTTAAACGAGATGGGAAAAGCTATTTTAAAATGGCTTAGCCATTTTAAAACAGCATGGGTGGCTGGAACATGGCACCAACAGTACTTCCTCTGGAATGGCATATTGATTCAATGCTCTGTTAATCATCAAGAGCACTTTTAGATCCCACTAAAACAGCAAAATTATGCTCCTCCACTCCCCAGGCTGAGTGAAACGTGTTCTACCATAACAGCACCGTCCTCCTAGTGTATCTGCTGCTGCACAGACATCTCACTCAGGGACAGTGTCTTATATGGGCAGAAGCTATGTATGTAGACATTGCCTGAGCAGCCCTGCACCAACAGGAGAGGCTTTTAACACTGCACAGTGCAGTGTTGAATGGACACGCTCAGCTGCTGGTAGCAGCTCAGCTTGGAGCTTAATTTAACCTGTTTAGAAGTAAGATAAACTAGCTCCTCCAGAGCTCTTTGCAGCAAAAATGCACATACACAAAATTACTTTTGAGATGTTTCCTCTTTATGTATTTTATGCCACTGCAGCAACTATTCCAAAATTCAAGTTGAAAATGTACTTTGCGTCAAATCCCTCATTACCAAAACCATTCTGACAAATACCTCTGAAAGACTACACAACAGTTCTCCACCAGAATTCATTTCAATCTCAGGAACAAAATGGTAACTGAATTTAAAATTACACTTAACATTTCTACCGTTGTAAGAAAGCACTTGTTTATTCAGGCATCAAAAAGTCAAAAAGAAGATTATTATTTTTTAATCTTGAAAGGCGAATGCAAGTTCCTTGACTGAATAGTGTCTGATAAGTTTGATACACACCTTTCAAACACAAGTGGAATGTGTTTTAGAGACTGAATTTCTACTTCATTGTAGACCCTTCAGGCAGATGTAACATGATGGGGTTTTTTCATAACTTCTGTAGCTCTTAAATCACATGATGGGTGAGGAGACAGAATTGGTATCACTTCAATAACACAAGTTAAGCACATGACACTAGTCCTTCCAAGCAAGTGCTTCCTAACAATTCTTTTCTGCAAATTTTCTGATTTTTTACCTTAGTGATCACTAGTTGATTTAACTTTAGAGCGTTCAGAGGAATAAACATCCACTGCTTGTTTATTTAAGTGTGCATATATTGTGAAATGATCACCCACTCAAGCTGTCTTATTGTCTGAAAAAGAGGGAAAGTAGCATGTGTGAACATTACTTACTGCTGCTGTTATCTAGCCATATTAAGGGCTGTGATGATCCATTTCTCATCCAAGAAATAGGAATAATCCATGTGTTGCTTAACAAAAAAAAAGATATAAAGATTAATACTTATGCTTAAAAAGTCCCTCTCAGCTGGTGCTAAACTAGATGCAGATGAGTTTCTTCTTACAAGAATCTCTGTCTACCTTCTCTCCTCTCTGATTCATAAAACTCCATCAGATGGTGGTACTTACATGGGATCAGTACTTAGATTCATCAAAGATAAGGGAGTTTTAGCATGGCTTTAAATAGGCACTCATATCTAGAAAATTGTTCAGTGCTAGGTATTTAAATACGGCTGTATCTCTGTGCTCTGGCTTTCCTTCTTCAGACAATAAATTTATTCTCCTCACTTATTAAACTTCACCCTGTTTCTGGAGAACATAAAGATCCTTTTCATAAGAGTATCCAGTAAAAAAGGCCCCAGGCAAGCAATACAACTGTAATTCTGACAACTGTAATTTCCTTTCTAAGGGATTGTAAAACTCCTGGCAAAAACAAATGAAAGCTTCAAAACTCTGAATAACGATGTAATGCATATCCTGGATTATCTTACATTCAGATGGTATTGCCTCTTGCTAACTACAGTAAAAGACTTAACAATTGTAACTTGGAACTACTTATCTGAGCTTACCAAAAATGCTGGATGGACTAATGCTCTGCGATTCCTGGAGCTTCGGAGCAAAGAAAACTCTGTGGCTCTCATCAACATTTCTTTTACTGTTTGTACGACAAACAACACCAGCCAGGGAAAAACTGCTTTGGGTTTTGCTCTCCTTTATATTTTCCCCCTGCATGAGAACTCATCTCATGGGCCTCATCCATGCATCCCAACACTCCTGACAGCTGTTGAATTTCATGAAAGTTTAAACTCTAGCCATGAGTTTCCAAAGTCGGTGACCAAAGGCAGGTCCTTCTATCACCGTTTTTAGGCATCTAAATAAGCAGCACAGCTTTCAAAAGAACCAGGCACTGTGCAACACTCACTGACAGGAACTTCAGAGCTGCATGTCAGGTACTCAGCACTTTCTGAGAAAGGAGGCATTTATATAAGTACTTAAATGCAACCCCTTTATCCTTGCCAAGCAGAAGAGACTAGGAAAATGTGGACTGGAAAGAAGCTGCAGCATGGTCGATCCAGGTCCCAAGTCCATACAACCGAGGGATGAGGAAAGAAGAAAATGCCAGGCAAAACTCCTGCCCTGCAACCTCTTCATGGCCTGTGTCTGTCCTTACAAAGCCATTACACGGCTGGAAAAGTCACTACTCCAGAGGAAAGCGACCTTTTGGCAAAACAAGTGTCTTGCAGAACTATTGCAAAGTTCAGTCTGAAACAGATTTTACTTGAAAGTTCATGACAAGAAAAAACATTAAAAAAATCAGATAGTCAAAACATAAAATAGGGTAAAAACATACAATAAAAACACAAGCTAAACATACTTGTAAGTATCAGTACTGTTTTCATTTTTTTTATTAAGAAATTGTTCCTGAGTGATTGTGCCAGTGGTTAGATTTAATGTTAAAACTGGAAACCCATTTTGGCATGTCCAGGAATCCATTATTTGTTTTACAGGTGCTGGCAACTGAACTTTATCCTGTGCATCTATGACCTGTGAGAGAAACAGGGATTAGAAATATTTATGATAAATAGGTACTTACTGATACAGCTTCAGCAATAGTAAGGGTTTTTCTAACATATTAGACAAAATATAACTGCAGTTTGCTGGTCTTTGATTTAGGGACAAAGATCAATGTACCACAGTCCAGAAGACATCATTGACATTAAAATAAGGACAGCATAAGCCTTTTTAGGAATTATGAAATACTGAGGTGACATTTCTCATTCTTATAACCTGACTGCTAAACTTTCTCTTTCTGGTATTAATATACTTACACCCCTGTATGGCTATGACAGACTTGATTTATTAATTTCATTCAAATAAAGCTGCTGGAACACAAAGATTTTTAAGTGACAAACTGAATAGCAAAGACAAAACAAAAAGATCTAAGCTACAGTCCCAACTAGTGTGAATTGGTCCAGTCTCTGCTGACTAAAAAGACATGACAGCCTTGCATATCTGAAACTGTGGCACTCTCATTCTTAACCTGAGCCTGCAACACAATGGAAGCCCTCTTTAGAGGAACAGGAAAGTGGAGTTTTAAAAAATAAACCTATTATTAGTTTTCTTACTCATATTTCTTCCAAAACCAGCAAAGCATGAAATGCTAAGCTACTGCCCTGGGTATAGACTTTGCTGGATCTGTGACATATCAGTGTCTCTGATCGTCAAGCCCTCAGCATCACACACTCTGATACGGCAAAACTTAAGCTCCAGAAGAATAGGCTATGGAATTTCACGTAGGCTTAGGCAATCTCCATGAAACCCAAAACTCCACCTGGCCCTCATTCCCATCTCATCTCTCTACTTAGCTCCACTGATCTCAGGTGCAGTAAAGCAGCCAAATAAACACTTGTGAAGACATTAGCCAAAAGAGCCAGCAAAGCAAATTTTATGTGAGAGAAGGACTGCACTAGGGATAGCCAAATTCCAGTGCAGTCTTCTACAAATAGTATATACCCTAAATTTGGATGGTGTTAAACAGCAGAGCAAGAATACTGGAGATAAACTGTGTACCATCTGTATGTGAGTCCAGAGATCATCTTGGTTAGCATTTGAGAAGGAAAATTCTTTCAGATATGACTGTATGGAAACAAACAGAAGCATCAGAATTCATGAGTGTTCAATGAAAAACACCATCAAGGCAAACAGCAATTTGTACAATTTTCATTTTCAAGTTTATAAATCAAGATAAAGGCATTAGTTTTGCTAACTTACAGTAAGTGCTCTAATAAACAACTTTTCAGTCAGGAAACCAGAAAGCATCCAGGTAATAGTAGCCCCCTGGAGTACAAAACAAAAAAATCTGTGAGAAAACATGAGTTATTATTGCAATTATTACTGCAATATTTTTTCAAACTATATTTCAGAGAAGTTAGGCTACTCCTATGCTTCATGTTTCATGCATGTTAAAAATGTTTTTGCCAAAAAATCTATTGTGGTTTAGCCCCAGCCAGCAACTAAACACCACACAGCCACTCGCTCACTGTCCCCCCAGCAGGACCTGGGGCAAGAGAACTGGAAGGGTAAAAGTGAGAAAACTCATGGGTTGAGATAATAACACTTTAATAATTGAAATAAAATAAAATAATAATAATAATAATAATAATAATAATAATAATAATAATAAATTGTAATGAAAAGGGAACTAACAAAAAAGAGAAAGAAAGAAAGAAAGAAAACCCAAGAAAGACAAACGATGCAAATGAAAAACAATTGCTCATCACCAACCAACTGAAGCCCAGCTCATCCCCAGGCAGTGCCCCCCGGCCAACTTTCCGCCTAGTTTATATGCAGAGCATGACGTCATATGGTATGGAATATCCCTGTGGTCAGTTGGGGTCAGCTGTCCCAGCTGTGTCCCCTCCCAGCTTCTCCTGCACCCCCAGCCTGCTCGTTGGTAGGATGGGGTGAGGAGCAGAAAGGGCCTTGACTCTGTGTAAGCACTGCTCAGCAGTAACTAAAATATCCCCATATTATCAATACTGCTTCCAGCACAAATCTGAAATATAGCCTCATACATGCTACTATGAAGAAAAATTACTCTAGCACATTCAAAACCAGCACAAAATCATAAGCTAAACAGAATATAAAACTTTATCAGCTTCCTCATGGTTTTGGTTTGGTTTGGTTTTTTTTTCTGCCACAAATTTGTACCACACCTTTCATTCTGATATTCAGAAAAAACTAAGGATTTAGGACTGTATCTATATGTTACATTGTTATTAGCAATGCATCCCTACTAACAAGTCATCCAGAAGGAAATTAATTTGGATATAATACAAAAAATATATCTCTCCTTTCTTTTGTTGAATCTTTCTTTTCTTTGTGAATTATTTTAGCCTGACTTTCTAGTTGGGAGGACCACAGGACTCATGTGCTTTATTTTTAATTACATCCTAAAAAGAATTCCAAAATGTTAGTGAATCACACTCTAAAATATACTGGAAATTGTTTTCCAAGTCAATCATCTACATTCTTCTGTAACCAGTTGGCAACTTTGATTAGTAGTTTTCTCCTTTCCATATTTTCAACTTTTGTAAACTCCAGTAGTAGAGTAGCAGCTGCTCTCTCATCCTCTTCCAGTGTAGTGTTATAAAAAACCTGTAACTGAAGCAATAAACACATGAGCTTAGTTCACAAAAGTTCACTTGCAGAAAGGAACTGTGTACCTGACAGATGCTTTAGACAGAACTGCACAGAAAAGGGTGAGATGGCAGGGGGGATGAAGAGGGGATGGGGCAAGCTTACTGATTTACACTAAGGTGGGAAAGCTCCTTGCACATCAGAAATGTGCCCTTTTGCCGTCCCTTTAATAATCCTTTCAAATGCAGCCAACTTCACTAGCACTGGTGGTTCCACACAGTGGCTAGGACTAGTTGGGTAGGAGAATCCTCTTGTGCTGCCTGCTGTACTATCACAGAACAAGAAATCTTTCCTATCGGGCTAATGAGCAGAAGACAAGAGGGGACTAGAGAATAGCAAAGAAATGTATGGGGGGGGCAGGAAATGAACAATAAGAGAAATGAGATAAATGTCAACATGATAACCAGCAACCTAACGTGCCAGCAGCCCAACTTTTGCTCTGTTTCTTGTAGACATCATAGCAAAGGTGATCTCTACAGATTTCAAAGAGGAAAATGAGACAGCTTTGATAATATTTTATGGGACTCAGTTCCAAACCTGAAGATTCATTTAGGCACTGGGCTATTGCTTTTGCCATCCCAGGGAGTTAACTTGTTCCTAAAGAACAAAAGGTGTAAAACTTATAGTTCATGAATGTTGAAGAGAGATTTCTCTGATTTTAGGAGCTAACACTCTGAATTGTTCTCCTCACTCAGTATCCCTTCTCAGTTACTTGCTGTACACATGCATATATCAACAGCAAAAAAGGGAAGCAACATTTTTCTTGTAATGACAGATTCTAGCAGTTCAGGGCTGGCGCAGTGACGTGGATCACATGCACACAGCCTAAAAGCTGAGCTGTTGAGAAAAAAAAAAATCATATTTTGGGAAAGAATCTGGGGAGACTTAGACTGGAGGTGAAAGAACAAGAAAAGAGTATGAAACGAGCAGTGTGATAGTTACTAATTTGTCACAGGCACTAATGTGGATTACAGTGGGGAGTAAACTAAGACAGCCTAAAGCCACCTACCACAGATTTCCACCCTTCAGCAGGTTTCTCCCAACCCATCCCCTTTTTCTGGAGGTACAGCAGCCCAATTAGAAAGTACTGTCCATGGGCTCATCTGGGCTGCCAGGCAGTCAAAAGGAAAGAACTGTGCCACGCACGTAGACCATCTCTTCAGCACACGGGCAGGCACCCTCTTAACACTGCAGCCACACAGAGCAGGACAACGTCCGTCCCTGCACAGAATCTCCCTTTCATGCCATGCTTAACGACCAGCTGTACACACAGACTGCAGAGCTGCAGGTGCATGTTCATATGTTTATTTCTCAGATGAGGAAGTATCATTTTTCTCAGTGTCTCAGCATAGCAATGATACAGAGTACATTCTATGATTTCTTTAAAAAACAAGAGATTTAAAAGCCTGTATTTACAAACTGGCAATGAAATTAAGACTGCTTCTCTGATTTACCTCTTGGATCTGTACATCTGTATTGACAAATCTTCCCATGACTCTTAATACATCATGTAACAACTCCTTCCCATACCTGTAAAATTGAGATAAAAGTCCTTCAAATAGCATGTTAGCAAACACACTAAATTTCACCTCATTTGAAAATACTCCCACTATTAAGTTATTCATTACCATTTGGAAATACCAACTAAGCTGAAGTTTGCAATTGTGTACTCTTTTTCCCCTTTTAAAGAAATACCATTAACATTCAATTTAGGCATTTGAGCAGGATGAAGCACACTAATTACCTTTCATTTTAATTTCCTAGTAAGATATAGTATTTCTACTTTGGTAGCATGAATTCTTTGCTTAAAACGCATGATCTATGTGAACCCATACAGCTAAACTGAGCTAGAAAGGCTAACTAATAGCGATTCTAACAACTTGGTGTCGTGAGAATGGCATATAAATTAATGCCCACACTATTCTTTTAGTCTGAAAATAACGTGTCAGTTTCCCAGCAAACTTCTCATCAATATGGAACACAGAAAAGCTTTGTAAGGCAACAAGTTGGTGTGACACAAATGTGCTACAACTTGCCTTTCCTAGTGTTAGCAATAAAGATACACACTTGGATGCTCCTGGAGGGCTGGTTGTGGTTATGCTGCCTCTAACGGCTCCAGATGGACTCCTCTGCCACCAAATGCAGCAGGAACAGACAGCCTCACTGCTTTTCACCATTGCCAGGAGAGAAGGAGTCTTCGAACAGACTTCAAAATACTTGCTTTGCTCGAGACAGGTAGCCCAAGCTCTCCTGCAGTTTACCTGCATTGGTACAGGCAGGCTAGAGATGGGTTAGGGCTTAAGTCAGGGAATAACACTGTAGTTGGTCCTTGCAGTGCTTGTAAACCTGTATGCTCCAACCCCACATATCTTCATAATCTCTTTGGAAAAAAGGTTACAAACTACCTCCAGCATTTTACACCCCTGCTAGTAGATCAACCCATTTCTAGAGTCAGATTTTCCAGGAAACTTAACACTTAAAAGCACCAAAACAGTCAGGAACAGACTAATCTTGAAAGCATTCTGCATCTGACATGTAGTCTTCTTTGACATTAAGTTCTGATCAGAATTGAATCCTCTGAAAATTCTGCAGGGCATACTTAATGAAGTGCATCAATCATTGCAACAAAGCCATCTCTGTGAGGAAAATCTGTACCTGGATTTCACAGCTCACATAAAGATGGAGGAAGAAGCCAAACAGACACAGAAATAAAGGGAAGCCAAAGCTGGTAGCTTACCATACCTTACACTTAAACGTGGCCAGTTTTCCATAACAAATTCCCAGGCTATACGGTGCCCAATATCCTTAGTCACAACATATAGGATGATGACTGAAGTACAATTGGAAGAAAATAATGTATCGCTGAGTCCATATTGCAAGTATCTGTTAGAAAAGAAGGCAATAATTGTACCTATCACTTGCTGTTTTAACAGTGATGATGATCTGGAAATACCATCCAATTTGGGAAAATTCCTGTCTCAACAAATATCAGAATGTGAAAGTTATAGCAGTTGGTGTCACTCTGAGCTGTGCATTCAGCTGCCACCACAAGAGCAGGTGGCTGGCAGGAGAAGCATCTCAGCTACTTTCAGAGCTTTAGACCCACTGAGTTTATGCCAATTCTTGGATGATCATTCCTTAGTCTATCACTGGCAAATTTCTGTCCTTTGGCAAATCCATTACGTAATGTGGACATGATAAATTAGAGAATTCAACTTCAGCATCTTTTTACTGATAAAGTGAAAAGATTTTATATCAATGCCAGTGAAAGATAATAAAAATACAGTACTCCAAACCGTGTTCAGGAAGCATTTGGACAACACTCTTAGATATATGGCTTAACTTTTAGGTTCCCCTACATGGAGTCAGGAGTCAGACTAAATGAACTTTGTGGATCCCTTCAGGGTATTCTACGATTTTATGAAGCTGGAAATTTAAAAAAAAAAATTAATTTTCAGTGTAAGTCTCCTCTTCAAATGGTAAACAGCTTGCTGCTAAGTAATTTTAACTTTTGCCCCTAATCTGGGTGATTTGGCTTCCAGACAGAGGCTAAATAGACCATGGCACTTTAGTTTGGAAACAAAATAAGATGGGGAGAAGGAGTATGGGAAAATTATATAAAATCATAAATGAT